AACAGACATTTTACAGCTCAATGTGGAACGGTCTACCCACTTCAGGATTAATCGTTGTTAAAGCACTTGTGGATGAGAATGATTTTCACATTTCAGATATGTACCTATTGATTTAATAATCATAACTGTCATTACACACGATCCTCAAGTGCTACTAATATTATTTTTAATGGGGCAAACAGGCTTTCTTTTGTTGGTATCATTTTTCAAGAATTATTATATTTTTTATATCCATTTTAAGGGTAAAAGTGTTAACAAAATAAGAAAACCAAATGAAATAATATCTGCTTATATATTCAAACACAACAAAAAATAACCAGAAATAACAGCGTTTACCTGCCAGCTTCTGATGTTCATCTAGAGAATTTTGTATGAAAAAAGTCAAAACACATCCCCTATTCATTTAGTGTCAGAACTCTTCAATGGACAAGGAGCATGAGCCTTCCTTGATTGCAGAGCTATAGGTCTGATTCAGCAGGGGCTTATTGGACCCCTGCAGAAAGACCACTGCTATTGCACAACAAGCAAGGGTTCCTCCCTTAACTAAGCCAGAAAAAGATGAGGGTGGTCACAATACTATTACATACAGTGGTCTACTCACTTCTTAGGTGTTCCCTTAGTAACCATAACTAGCATATAAAGAAAAAATAATGCCCACCAAAAGGGTAAAGCCCCACGGATGGGTAGAAAGAGATTAATATGACAGAATCCGAGACCTACTGTTATATTTATCACAATTTTATCAAAGTACCAAAATGTGAAAATATAATATATAAAAACATTACTCACAAAGTACATGGACGCAATACTTGGTTTTTACTATCAAACAAACACACATATACAATGTCGTCTATTGAAGTACTAGACATCCAGCAAGATAATATATGTGTCGCATAATGTATCAATCAATTAAACTCTAGCTGGCCATGCCACACATAAATGCCCCTGGGGCTTATAAATGCTAGTAATATATTACCAGCTAGTCAATGCCCTAAGTATATCTAAAGACCAATACAGGTCCTGTATCTTGCTAAACTGAAACCTGTAGTTCAACCTTTTTAGCTCAGATAATTAGTAATCTGTGATATTCTCTTCTGGGAGAGATGTTCTTTTCACAGAGGATGGGCAATGCACGGCAGCAAATAATATGCAGGTTGTTGTTGAATGAATTTTACAATATTATTAAAGTTAGATGCAAAGTAGTGAGGCAATATGGTATCTTTCCACCCAGCAGCTGTATACTTGATCAATATTGGGGGCCATATATAGCCAGATAGGGTCCAAACTAGTCTTCCTTAGGTAGCAGCATTATAGCAAAGCGTCAGAAGAGGCAGCAAAGCAAATGGTTTGATAATATTTGCAGGCCAGGTAATAGCACAGAAGAGCATTCAGAAAGATGCAAGCAGTAAAGCAAGTCACAGGTGGTCAGATAGTCACAAGTGTTCAATGGAAAAACCATCTGCTGTCATTGATTGCCTCCACTCTACCCTACTAAACATAAAGTCCTTGTGGGGTGCAGGCTGTCATGACATGTTGTGTATCCTTCACACTTGTCAGTGATTGGATTACGTCTTACTACCTTCCTGGAGGATCAGTCCATCTCCATGTCTTGTTCAATCCATCTGCAATGCTTGCAAAAAGCACCTTGTATCTTTCTCTTCTGATGTATCAGGACTTCCATCAGCTAGTGGTCCTCCATAATACTGGAATACAGCTACAGGGGTACTGTTATCTGTCAGGGCAGGAGCTGAGGAACGGACAGGCAGGCCTAAACAATGTAACGCACTGGCTGGCGACAACCACCACCCACAGACCGAAGTCCCCCAGGGCGCGGAGTCTAAGTCCCAGGCTGCCCTTCACCAGGGCCCCTGATGGTGGGGATAAACTTGACGCAGCCAGGAACCAGGTCGCGGCCCCCGAGACACCTCAGTTGCGGTAATGGCCGCCGCCAATGGCGTGTAGCTGGTGGAAAAGACAATAGAGTAGTCGGGCAGGCCGGGTCGACAACAACGGGACAAAACGGTACAGGACAGCAGACGAGAATCACAGGTCACGGGTTGAGATCAGCAATGGAGGGTCAGATCAAAGGAGAACACAAAGAATGGTCAGGTCACAAGCCGAGTCAGATTCCAGGAGAGTCACGAGAGTCAGAACAGAGTTATAGCAACACAAAGACACAAGACACAAGTGCAAAGGGCATGTGCGGACTACAGGCTTATATGTAATCAGCCACACCCCTCTGGGGATGGACCTCAGAGACCAGAAGGCATAAAAGATTCCCACCATGCTCTGCAGAAATCCAACATGGATGTCAGCACATGGAGAAACATAACCTCTGGGAAAAGGTAGGACCTTGACATTATCTCCATGTGTCAGTTCCACATACTCCCACATGTCAAGCTGCCATGCCAGTCAGGCATCTGGGGCGTGAACAAACGGACATCACATGACTTGCTGATGACATCAACGCGTTTCTCTTACATACAAGCGTAGCTTTCATCCGGAAATACTTGTCTGTTCTGGTTGTGGCTGTTTTCTAAGGAAAACGAACTGTGAGACATTGAACACATGAAACGTATTTAGCTGATTATACTGAAAGCTTAAAGCTGATCTTCACCCCCCCCCCCCCTATTTTTTATATCTCCTGCTTAATGGGGGTTGTCTTCTGCTGAGATCCTTTTCTGTTTTGCCACCGTTCTATCCTGTGCTGCCATGTCTTTCTGTGATGTCTCGGGAGAAACTATCTGAACCAGGTTCAGTCAGCAGGCCTACCGATGACATCCCACTAGGCCTGCCCCCCTCCTCCTTTACTGAATGGAATGACGTGCACCTGAGGCACGCAGCCTGAACATTTATTTTCCTAAAAAAAAAAAAGGGTAAAAAATATATTAATAAATATATAAATAAAACCCCAGTGCTATTTCAGGAGGTGAAGGGAAGAGGGGTGGATAGGAGTGAAGACTTTGTGGAGGGTGAAGATCCGCTTTGATTGGAATTTTGTGTTCTGTTCTATCCAGAGTTTATTATAAGAGACATGTCACAGAGTTGAGAACTCCAGGTTTGCGCTTCAACAGTATTTCCTCATTAGTACACCAGAAGAAATTGTGATGGATTTGTTTTTGTGCCAGTAAAAAGTGCACTCCCCCATCCCTCAATCCTGGTGCCACGACACAATTCCACAGAGCACCCCCCTACATATACCTTATAGGTATATCAGTGCATTGGTTGGACTTGTTTTCCATACAGTACATGTAAAGTATTAGAATCGGGAGGGGCAAGCGATTGTTTTCCATAGTGGGTCACTAGGTTGAAGCCTAATAGAATGGCTTGCCAGTATTACTTTCTTTACTTTTGTTGACACACAAAACACCTTCATACATTGTAACTGACATCACTGGCTCAGGTAATAGTGATTAAGCAGGTGCAGCTTTTCATCTACAGCCTTGACTATGGCCTTGTATATGAAAAAGACCTGTGTGCTAAATGCATACAAATATTATAAAAAAACAGCATAAGTGAATACATAAGTGAAATATATCCAGATTAAACACTGCTGCCACCTTAAAATGAAATAAATCATATAAACAATAAATGAACCCTAGGTGATTCAGTGGCGGTGTGAGCAAAAATAAATAAAAGTGACAAATTATAAAATTATTAAGCAACTGATAAAATTAAAGTCCATAAATTCATTCCAACGTGATAATCTTCTATTTACTTCCCAAAACCGAAATCACCATGTGTTTCAAGAAAAAACGTTCCCCCTCCTGAGTGTGCACTCACCAAATTTCCATGCGTCCCACTCTCATGGTTGGCATATATCGCTTTGAAAAACTCCAAATGGGAAGGGAATGTGACAATATCAGCATATCCACAATCCTCCTTGCTCCTCTCCCCCAGGTGCAATGGTAATGAAAGAGTAAAAGGTAAAAACTCCAATGGTGCAGTACAAATGACACTTTTTATTAAATGAATGCAGACAGCCCCTCACAAGATAACTGATATAAACATGCCTGTAGAGAATATATGTGGTAGTGTGATGGATTGCAAGCAGTGCTCTCACCACCACCGGATCCCAAACAATGGACTCTCGCATCACTTCCAGTTCCGGTCCCAGATGTCACTTCCGGTCGCCACACAACCTCACCCTCAGCCAGAAGTGACGCGAGAGCGCCATTGTTTGGGACCCGGCATTGGTGAGAGCACTGCTCTCACCTTTTAAAGTCCAAAGCTAGCAGGAGAAAAACTTAATCCCATAAAGAGGCTCAGTAAATATGGATACCCTTGTCCCAGTTTATAAAAAAAAAAAATCTTATTTCAGCAATTTTTTCACATTTGGCCGCAGAACTCTGCCTCTAACAGCAATGATACCAGACAAAGCAGCTTGCTTATTTGCAAGTCATTGGACCTCCGAGCTGCTTTGAAGCATTAAACATAGACCAGCTGGAAGAAATTGCCCTTCCTGATGATGCCAAAGGACCCCTCACTTTTAGGCTTCGTTCCAACCCATGCAGTTTGCTTTTTGTCTGTTTTGCAGTGCTCTTCGCAATTAGTTTTGCGTTTTTCTACATGCATTTTAGACACGTTTTTGATGCATTGTTATGCATTTTGTTCAGCCTTTTTTTTTTTTTTTTTGCTTTTAAAGTGGAATTTTTTTTTTCTTGGGAAAAATGCAAAACGCGGCAAAAACGCACTACCATGCATTTCAGCAGATTCTCCATTGAAACTCTATTGTAAAAAAGTCCCTGACCCTTACCAAAAATGCAGCAGCTCAAAAAAGCATAGATGTGAACATGTTCCATAGGAAAACATGTTAAATGGACTGTAGTGTGTTTCTGCAAAAAGCACTATAAAACACATTGCTGTGACTTAGACTTCGAATAGGTCCTCACACTACATAATTGTTTGTATATATGAAAGACATTTTACAATCAGATTGTCACATGTGTGGCTAGTTTTAAAGAAATTATCACAGAGAAAATTATTTCTTGTTTATATAGGAGGGAATCTATGGGATCCATATGAAACATCAATGAATCGGGACTACCCAACGAAAGTCTGCTCTCCAACTATTGCTGTACGGTAAGTCACAATGAGGCATCATGCACACGGGACATTTTTCAAAACATTCCTCCTCTTCTGGACAGTGTTTTCTGACAGAACTGGCCATGGCCATTTTTTTTTTTCCTGCTGATAAACGCTACTGCTACTAAAAGTCTATGTGTGCATGGACACATAAGATAACATGGAGGGCTGTTTGGAAGCAGTAAAAAAAAGCACCTGATGCCTCTAAAAGTGGCTGCAAAAATGCCCTGTGTGCATGAGGCCTTACTTCTCCTTAGGTCAGTGGTCACCAAACTATGGCCTGGGGGCTAGATCTGGTTCTTTGCTTGCCCTTATCTGGCTCTTGGGGCACCATTCCATCCACTGACTCCAACAGGGCATTATTCTTCCCACTGATACAAACGATGGGGCACTATTTCCTTCCACGCACAACAATGTTGGGGCACTAAGCCTTCCACTGATACCAGCAATGGGGCACTATTCGTCCCACTGATTGATCCCACTATTGATCCCACTGTACAGTTTTTGTAGCTGCTGACACAAAAATGGCTGAAACTGCTTTAAGTTGCCCTGGGCCACAGAAGAATGATACATAGAACCAGTGCCATATTACCAAATGGGTAGAGTAGTCACTGACCTATGGGCCCCACGTCATTTAAGGGCCCTGCAGCAATGGATCAAAATAATATTGATTTGATCTTATAGGGAAATTACAATGATACTTTCTTAAATATAATACGATATAAAAAAAATGAATCAACTTTGAAGAAATGTAAACTTTACATTAAAGACTCTATAAAGAAAATGGTGTATTAATATATTGTACCCAGTAACAACTTAAAGTACATAAACCATTGACATCAGGTTCACATTATAGTTTCTCTTAACGCAGCTTTCTTCTTTCAGCTATGAGTTTGTAAAAAGTTTGGTGCAACCTACATACGTGTAATGTACAGTAGTGATGGTCTTCTCTATCTAGTGTCCAACACGCACACTACTTAGTTTAACCGCCTCCCACCATATAGTAAAATGACGGATGCAAGGCAGTTCTCTCGTTCTGGGAGGACGTCATATGACATCCTCCCATGCTAACTGCGCATGCGCGGCTCCAGGAGCGCGCAGTGCGGCGATCGGCGGTGCACTGTGTCCGTCGGACACAGCGGATCACTGATCAACGGAAAGAGCCGAATATGTCGGCTCGGTCATGTGATCAGCTGTATCCAATCACAGCTGATCACATGTAAACAGGGAAATTCCGGTTATCTGCATTTTTCTCCCCACGAGCTGTCATGTTGACAGCTCGTGAGGAGAGTCGGTAATCGGCATTCCTCGGAGGGGACATGTACACAGATCATCAGAGCACTGATAATCAGTGTGCCCTGATGATCTGTGTAGCCCCAGCAGTGCCACCTGTCAGTGTCCATCAGTGCCAGCTGTCAGTGCCCATCCATGCCACCTGCCAATGCCCATCAGTGCCACATCAATGCCACATATCAGTGCCCATCTGAGCTGCCTTTCAGTGTCACCCATCAGTGCTAGTCAGTGCCACCCATCAGTGCTGCCAGTCAGTGCCGCCTATCAGTGTGCATCAGTGCCGCCTATCAGTGCCCGTCAGTGCTGCCTATCAGTGCCGCCTAACAGTGCCAGTCAGTGCCACCTATCAGTGCCATATATGAGTGCTGCCTTTCAGTGCCCATCAGTGATGCCTGTCAATGCCCATCAGTGCCACCTACCAGTGCCTCCTCATCAGTGCCACCTATCAGTGTCCATCAGTGCAGCCTATCAGTGCCCATCACTGCAGCCTCATTAATGCACATCAGTGAAGAAGAAAAATCACTTATTTGCAAAATTTTATAACAAAAACTAATAAAAAACCTTTTTTTTTTCAAAATTTTCAGTGGTTTTTGGTTTGTTTAAGAAAAAATAAAAAACCCAGAGGTGATTAAATACCAACAAAATACAGCTCTGTCACAAAAAAATTATAAAAATTTGATATGGGTACAGTGTTGCATGACTGCGCAATTGTCATTCAAAGTGTGCAACAGCGCTGAAAGCTGGAAATTAGCCTGGGCAGGAAGGGGGTATAAGTGCCCTGTAGGCTAGTGGTTAATGTTATCCCACTAGAGCATGCACGACAAACCTGCAAGGGGGACCCCAAGGTTTAAGCTGCCTAGGGGCCTCCAGAGATTTTAATCTGGCACTGCACAGAACAATACCCTCGTTATTTCTGCCTTTAACCCTTTATAGGGTTTTCAACCAATGTGCATTTGACAATGGATGCTGAGTGAAATAGAAATGCTAAAGAGGCTGATCATTACTACCCAAGTAATTAGTGTAGTGCTGTAGGGCTATCTCTCAATGGGTTTACAAAGCTTTAGTTTAGTCTTTTAATAGACGTGTCATCAGAGCGGTCACCTTACATAGCTCTGTACCATATCTATTCACATGGTGTACCTGGCAGCTTTTGTTACCCATTTTGAAAGTTTAGTATATCGTGTTCATTATGTTATTGTTTCGTAGCCCTAAGACCTCTAAAAGCTACAGGAACCCATACTATTTGTGTGATCCCATTGGAATAAGCATGTACAGTGATGAATTTGGCTGGAAACCCTATTCCAAAACGGAACCTATCAGAGCTGCAACATCATCAGGAGCCAGAAATCACCGGCCTCACCCTGACAAGGTGGGTATTTATACGACTTTTTCTTTGTATTCTTATAATTCTTTATACTACATTTCAGTTGATTAGATGCCATGAACATGTTAGGTCCAAGAGCTCACTACTGAATTTTTCACATTAATGCAATACATTGTACAATTCCTAACAGTGTCTCATTTAAAGGGACAGTCTTTCATAGTCCCTCTTTTGGAACAAAATTCCCTTGTCTCTCTCTCTTGCCTTCTTAAAGTGAAAAATTATTTTTGTGCATACTTTTTTGGTTGCGGGATCCACACCACTAACTGGTAGATTAGTCAGCGTACATCTTCTACTAATAGTCCATTAACAGTTTTCTTTATTTCTTAAAGTGAAACCCTGCGCAAAATCATAAATTACATATAAAACCTAATTCACATGGACATGTTAATGGGTACGCACGTATGAAGGGCCATGTTTACCCATATGAGATGCTCAGGTGTTACGTGCAAACAGGCAGTCTCATTCATGTCAACTGTCACATTCACAGCCGCTGCTCCCAGTTTGATATCCATGTCTGTCTGTGCTCAGGGAGTGCCCACATACCAGTTTTATCCTACTGATGCTGCCAGTAGATCTTTTTTCCCATGCTTCCTTTAATGGCCAAGCTGTCCATCAACAGTTATGGAAATTTCCAGTCTCAGCTACTAAATGGTCAGACCAGGCTCAGTCAAACCACAGGAGGCTTTACTTGCATCATATTGGATGAAAACACAGCTGCCTATATTCACACAAAAGGGTGACAACACTTTTGCAGCACTGGGAGGTGGTTGGATAGCATTGTCACCCTGTTAAACTGTTTTTACTAAATATATACTCTCTAACATCTACATTTAAAAGCAAGAAATGAGCTATTTGCACAGCTTTAATACTAAGTTTACATACATATCTGTTTTGTTAGGCTTTTGGGGTTCTATTCAATATGTGCAAAGAGAGATCACACAAATACTTATAAGTAAAACATTTATTACAAGTAATGACAGATACAGATAAAGATAATATAACAAGAATACCTAACTAAAGATGCTGTTTCTCTCACGGGTCCCTCCATTATATGGTGTGGCTGATGATCAGAATACACACGTGCTTAACACATGCTCTAGATCGAGACAAATATTTCCAGTCTAGCTGTGTGTTATATACTGGACTTGTGTGTAGGGAATGTCCAGCCCCCCACTGCAAGTAATATGACCTTTAAAGCGGAGTTCCACTCACCCTGTCAAAAAATAAAAGTCAGCAGCTACAAAAACTGTAGCTGCTGACTTTTAAGAAACAGCCACTTACCTGTCCCTCGGCCCTGCGGTGCGTCCCCCGCAGCCTGTTTTACCAGCCCTCCTGTATTCCAGTAGGCCGGCATCTTCAGTGTGGGCACCTGCCTGTGACAGCTTGCGGCTTCCCAGCCGGGTACCCACTGCGAATGCGCGAGTAGCACTGCACTTCATGAATGGTCCTGTAGTCTTCTGGGACCTGTCACGTGTCCCAAAAGACTACAGGGAGAGGGAGAGAGGGAGGACACCTTCTGCTTCCGGTCGCCTAGGCGATCGGACCGGAAGTGCGAGCGGGTACCTATCAAATTTGGGTACCCCACTCCCCCCCCGCACCCCAAAGGTGCCAATCCTTAATGGGGAGCGAGGGAGCGGTCCTTAAACTGGAACTTCCCCTTTTGGGTGGAGTTCTGCTTTAAGGACTTGGTCAGTTTTCAGTAACATTCCTTTGGTGCGAGTCATCTATAGTGACCATTCTTGTCTCTTTATTAGATATTGTGAGCCAACAATAATAAGGAAATATAAAATATACAATTTCCCCCTCACTCCACCCCCTGGCTCACAAATATCATACAGTGATGCCTACCACTGTATATAAAGGCAACATGTCAACAGTGAAGAGAAAGCACCTAACTATTGTCTACTTTCCCTGTCTGATGTCACCTACACAGAAAATCTTGTTTGGCTATCTTAGGGCTGAAAAATCCCAAATTCAAAAAACATTAGAAAAAACTACACGTTGGACTAACAAAAGAACACCAAACTTTTCCTTTAAAGAATTCAAAAGCACAGGAGCAGACACAAGTATCAGACTTTATTTTATAAGCCACTGCTCCCAGTGTGCTATCCATATCTGTCTGTGCTCAGGGAGTGCCCACATACCAGTTTTATCCTACTGATGCTGCCAGTAGATCTTTTTTCCCATGCTTCCTTTAATGGCCAAGCTGTCCATCAACAGTTCTGGAAATTTCCAGTCTCAGCTACTAAATGGTCAGACCAGGGCTCAATCAAACCACAGGAGGCTTTACTTGCATCAGATTGGATGAAAACACAGCTGCCTATATTCACACAGAAGGGTGACAACACTTTTGCAGCACTGGGAGGTGGTTGGATAGCATTGTCACCCTGTTTAAACTATTTTTACTAAATATATACTCTCTAACATCTACATTTAAAAGCAAGAAATTAGCTGTTTGCACAGCTTTAATACTAAGTTTACATACATATCTGTTTTGTTAGGCTTTTGGGGTTGTATTCAATATGTGCAAAGAGAGATCACACAAATACTTATAAGTAAAACATTTATTACAAGTAATGACAGATACAGATAAAGAAAATATAATAAGAATACCTAACTAAAGATGCTGTTTCTGCCACGGGTCCCTCCATTATATGGTGTGGCCGATGATCAGAATAGACACATACCTAACACATGCTCTAGGTCAAGACAAATATTTCCAGTCTAGCTGTGTGTTATATACTGGACTTGTGTGTAGGGAATGTCCGGCCTCCCCCCCCCCCCCCCACTGCAAGTAATATGACCTTTTAAGGACTTGGTCAGTTTTCAGTAACATTCCTAAAATACACCATTTCCCCGTCACTCCACCCCATGGCACACAAATATCATACCGTGATGCCTACCACTGTATATAAAGGCAACATGTCAACAGTGAAGAGAAAGCACTTAATTATTGTCTACTTTCCCTGTCAGTTTTCAATAGCATTCCTTTGGTTTGAGTCATCTAAAGTGACCATCCTTGTCTCCTTATTCGATATTGTGAGCCAACAATAATAAGGAAATATAAAATATACAATTTCACCATCAATATCCTTTATTATGTCTCATATATAGACCTATATGAGTAGATGCATGATTCAACTGCCAAGATGACCTTCAATGTATTGCCTTGGTTACTTTAAAATGCTAATATAAAATTAGAATACTAGGGAAATTAGAGTTGAACACTGATTGTGAGTTTAACTATGTCTCTTGGTGTACACCTTTATGGTCAGTATGGCTTGGGGGTGTGCAAAGGATGTGTCCTAAAGTTGGGAGGTATGCATTGCATTGACCTTTGTCCCAAAATCAGCATATGAATGGTAAAGGATGACAAAACACTCTGTCAGGTTTTTTAAAATTTATTTGTATTCATTTTAATAAAATACATGGTACAAACATTAAAACAAAAACAAAACCGCAGCGGCCTTGCAAGCAATAAAAACTTGACTGAGGTCCTAAATCTTCCCAAAACTGGAAAAAGGTTCATTGAAAATGAACCCCCAGGGATTATTGCACTGGTGACCATTTTTTTCGACTGCTAAAGTGCCATTTGGGAAAGGAGGGGATCTCTCTTAATCCCATCCCTTCCCATCTTGGAATAACTAGGAACATCAGTTTCAGATTACATAATTTTGTCCATCCAGATTGGATTTGGCTCTTTTTTACCATTTTATCTGTTGGATTTACTTTGCTGAACTAATGGAAAGAACATTGGAGCAGTGATTCAACCCTTTCTAATGTGACGAATGGATGGGTTGAGCAATTGAAAACAACAATTAAATCACTCTTGGTGTATCTGTATTCTGTGGTTGAATTTATGCAGACTTTCAGGTGCTAGTCAGTCCAGTCACGGAGGCAGAAGATATTTTACATTGTGCCAGGGGAGTATTCTTTACCTGACAATAGGAGGAAAGGCTAACAAAATGAGGTCATAAACAAATGAATCATAATCAGTCTGTTGTAATATTCAAATCGTCCGACAAGCACTGAGTTTCATAGGCACTACAGCCATGACAATTCCAATCTTAGTCAATATATTGTGCTTTGAAAGTCTAATTTTGGATATAGTGGTGAGGGTTTAGAACCCCTGAGAGGTTTTTATTACTACTTGCGAATATCCCGGTCAGGAAGATTCACCCTCTCTATTTGTCCTAGGTAACTACTGTGATCCCTAGGCACACTGGCATCTCAAGAATTATTCAGCTCTGATTTAAAGTAAAAGTTCGCCTTTTATTTAAAATTCCCCAGCTCTCCCAATGCATACATTTGAGTTTCACCCTCCACAGGTCCATACTCGCCTCTTTTGACTGCTGCAGCCATTGCACACACTGGCTGGTAAAATTCTAGTGCTTCTCTGGCTAGGCCCGCATACTTACGTTCTGCAATCTTGAAGGGGCCATGCCTGTACTGCACGAGCAACATCTCACTTAAATCTGTTGGTCAAAAGGGGGCAGGTGTATCAGGCCAACACTAGAATTGTATGAGCAGGGCTGCAGACATCACCTGGCGACACCTGTCAGGGCATTATTTAACTTTAATCAAAGCTGCACACTTTGTTTTTATCTGCAGGGTCCCCTTACCTGTATAGGCAGTTTTTTTGGTTAAGATGAACTAACCCTGTAAGTACAGACCTGTCGAAGGGTACCCAGTTGTGTTTATTGAGGGGAATTTCTTATTAACCACTTCCCGTCCATATAACATACGTGTATTTCCTTGGATGGAAAAGGTGATATCTTAGTCATAGCTGCAGCAATAACCAAGATATAATTTTTAGAGCCAGCGATTCCCTTTAATGTAAAAGTAATCCTAGCAGGGGAACTCTGTTCCTTCGACTAATTAAAGGAAAAAACTGACCTCCCTAATTGGTATTTTGTAGGTACCTCCAACTACGACATGCCAGTAGGACCCAATTCTCCCAACCATCTATTCTCCAATAGAGCCTA